TATGAGATCATCTCAATGCCTTGTGAAATCTCACAGAGCACCCCCCAACTGGTATAAACTGCCAGTGTTCCCTTGACTCCTGCAGAATATCGGCTCCTACACTTAAAATGTTCAACGTTTTTTCACCACTTTTTCTAGTTGTTCTTTAACTACACTTTGTGGACTGAGAAACAAGATTTGGAGTTACGGCATACTTGCAAGTGGAGAAAAAAATACTGTCTCCAGTACTTTGGAAAACTGCTGCATTTTAAGACTGGGTCACGCATTGAAAGGCATTCACTGTCACAAGCATCCACTGCTGCAGAACTAGCAACCCTTTGACAACTTTTCTATAGCCAGTTCTCAAATAAAATACACACTAAGTTTTGATTTTAAACAAACTCCTTTACCACTACACAAATACATGAATTCCTACTGTATTTTTACTATAGCAGAATAATAACAACTATTAATATTTCTTACCAAGGCCAATAATGGCTTTTGTCTGTACTTCTTCATCTGAATGCTTTGTAAAATACATCAGCAGTTCAAGTACTTTATCCTTAATGTTAACCTGAGGAAATTAAAACAAAAAATAATAGTTATTTGAAGAGGAAACAAATGTTTTTAATCTCTTATAAAAAGTATAAATACCAAAAAGAAAAGGAGAAACACAATCTTACTGCATTTTACTTCACAAAACCACATATTTAAAAACCAAAAATCGATACTGCATTATGAAAAGATACATACCTTTGAGCGACTAGGAATAACATGCTTTCAAATTAAAGTGGAATATTCAGTATATCTATGACATGGAGAGTAAATACAAGTTTTTTACCTTACTGTTGCCCTTAAAATCTTCTTGATCAAAATCAAAATGCCGACACAGTGCTCCAACAGTGAAAAGTGATCTAAGGAGTGCTGGCTTATTGGCAGTAAGTATTGTACTGTTGGGGTCTTCTTGGTGTTGACTTTTTAATTTTGAAAGTGCACCTACAGTAAGATAAAAGTTTTGATCACAGTATTTAATCATGGTGTATGCTAAGATAAGACTTGTAGCCAACTGAAAAGTGACAATTACATGTGATTTTACTTACCGTAGTATCTATTAAAACAGGCCCAGACAAATTTATAGTTCTGGGTGACCTTGTTCACAACAGCTCCAAGACAGCTCACACAATGCTGAACCACCTAGGAGCAAAAAAGAACAAATGAATTACATTTGTTAAAATTGAGGGTGTTGTGAACTTAGGAAAAAGCTATGCTGAACTAAAACTAGTGATCTAACGGATATAATGTCCATCTCCTAGACTGCTCTGAAAACCTGCCCAAACTTCTAAAATATAGCAACAACACATACAAAATCCAGTAAACCAAGTACACTCATTTTTCATGGCTCAAAAGTTATCTTCATAACAAAGACTTTCTTTAAATCAAAACCGTGTTTTTCACAACATGAAATGGAATCAACTGAATAGTAACAATTAAAAGCTTACCGTCATGCCATATTTGATGATGAGTTTCATGAGGTCTTCCTCAATAGTGGCAAGAAAGGTCTCACTTGGGTGCTCCATTAGCGGCACTACAAGCTCTAAGATTTTTGCAACATTGCAGATCACCATGAAATCATTCTGGGTCTGAAACAACAGTATTTATAGCATTTAAGATTTCTGGACATGTTAACTATAAGCTAAGTGTTATTAATATTCACTGATAGTCAAAAACCCCAAGTCATGTAAGATAGTTGGTAAAAATCTAAAGGAATATTTATATAATTTACATCTGCTGTTCAATAGTATATTATTATGAAAGCTACTTCCGTTTTCCACAGAACTTCTGGAAAAAAAAAATAAAATCTGTACAAGCAGAAGTTCACCTCTCATGAAGGCTGTGACAGACCTGAAAACTTTTGGTCCTGATATTTTTTTGAAATCCTACAATAAATCTAGGAACTCTTCCTGACACACTAGAGAACACACCACATTTGGAAACAAAAACCAGCAACAAAATGAAGTTGTGCTGTGACTTAATGTGCCTCAAACAAAATAGGTAATAATGCGCACAAATGCAGAAATTACAATTAAAATTATTACTCGTTTGCATTATCAGAACTGTATGTATGCATTGTAAGTGAGGAATCTATGGAAAACATTTATCTATTAAAGATACCTCCTGCTAGAAATTGACTTTTTTTGACATACCAGGCTCACTAATCAGGATAGGATAATTCCCAAATGCTACTAGCAAGCTATTTAACATATTCAAGCTGACAGTGGTAATTCCACAATTCATCTCAACCTGTGTAAGTACAAAATTGTTGTAACCCCGTAAATGGGTTGCAGCAAGTAAATAATCAGATAACCCTTTCCTATACTGTTTGATCAGAAGCAGCTCTAAAAGTCTGTTGTAAATGTGCCTAGAGAACACTCTAGGGCCGAAGCTGGAAAATGCTAGGCTATACCTACATTCTAAGCTGATAATTATTCTCAAGCCTGTCCTGTGCAGCTGACCTAATGTAATGGATTGCTGCCACCCACTCTTACTCCTCCTTAAGCAATGGCTGCATGATCCTGCCCTGCTCCTCCTGCCAGATCAGAGGTTCATCACAACTTTCACTGAGCCAATTGCACTAATCAAAACGGCAGAAAGTGCCACAATGTTTCAGAGAAGGGGGGCCATTATACTGGATTGAGGGGGTTCAGCATTAGAGCTCTCTACCACGTGTAAGCTAAATTGTCTTACAGGGGAATACAAAAACATTAGAGCTAGGGAAGTGAGAGGTGAAGTATGGATGAGGATGGAGAAGGACATTTTACTTCTGATATATTTGCTGTATGTTAGATCACTCTGTCTTATGGAACCATACCTTTAGTCTTGAGACTGTGACTATAAACCAAAATAATTTTAAGAAATTATTTCAGAACACACAAAAAACTGAGTCTTAGTCCTCAAGAGAAAGAGGCAGCACAGGTTTCAGTTTCATTTGGCTGAAAAATGTGGAGGTAGAGGGTGAGGAACAGCATCTTAAGAGAGATCATTAAAAGGACCCAGTATCTTCAGAAGCTATGATGCCCATGAAATTAAAACACAATTAAAATTTTTGTTTTCCTACCTTCAATTTTATCAAGTATACAGCCATTCATTTCCATGCTTAATTATCTGGGGAAAACAAAGACTGATTTTCTCTACTTACACTACATTTAGTGGTCAGGTACGGCTGCATGGTCATGGCATGTTTGACCATTAGCTGGGGTCTGATTTTGCTGAATAAGAACAAAGTGGTTATGCAAGCAACCAAGCGACCAGAATTCACACCTTTGTTGTCAGAATCTGCAAAAGATCAGAAAATACAAAAAAGATATTAAGTCCAAATAATGTTTGAGCAATGAAAAACATATGGCTTAAACATCATCTGAGTATCTCTTTCATTACATCTCTTTCAAGATCAATATAAAATATTCTTATTAGAGATGAGAATATTTAGTTAACATTTGTATGTGATCACAAAATACTGAAAAATGAAGCAAAGATGCTCCCAGGATACCACTAGTTTTTAAACTACTTACTGTACACAGAACACTGACCCAGCCAATGATTCCTATTACAACTGTAGAATATATTAATGTAAATAAAACTTGCCATGTTTGTTTTGGTTTTAGTGATCTAAAAGTTTGAACAAGTTATTTTAAAAGTAGTTCTGTTATTGTGGTTAACTAGTGAAAATTAGGGAAGCTTTATTATTACACAATGCTCAAAAGTTCATAATGAATTTTAAAGCAATAATTCATTACCATCAGTTTTGTAACAGGAATTCTGTAACAGTAACTTTTTGTGATAGTAATTTGAACAACCACTATTACAGTATCATATAAAATTTAAAGAGTTTAGCTAATGCGTTGTAAATAATACTACCTGATAAAGATTCCTCATATTTAAGAATGTGCTCAACCAAATTGTCAACAAGTTGAGTACAGGCTTTCTTCACAGGTTTATATGAGGCATCCTCTTCTGACTTCAAAAGCTGTAGCAGACGATACAGAAAATGATTTAGTATTAAGTGTGCATTCATTTACATTGGATACATGCTGGTTTCATAACAATTACTGCAGATACACAAGGATTTTACACTACAAAAGTATTTATTTAACTTCTCCACAAAAGTTGCATGGTGAAGAAAAGATTAAAGGAAGTAAAATATCAAACCAAAATGCAAGAGAAGTAAAGAAAAATTAACCACAATAAAAACGCCCCAAACAAACAGAAGAAAAAAGTTCTACTGATTTTTGCACTTTACAAAGGTAACTTTGTACTTAATGAAATAATGCAAAAAAGCAATAATGTAGTCATACTCGCCATCGGTAACTAATAGCAGTTAGAAGGCTTTTACAATGCTTAGGGGACAAAAGAGGAAATTCAAAAGGAACATTTTTGACACTAAGCAAAAATATCAAACAAAGATGAAACAGATTTTTATGAACATTTTAATCAGTTAGCCTGCTTTGTATGACTTCCAGTCCTGAAACTGTCCATGAAGATTCTTTAATATCTAAGAAGGATTAAGATCATATTATAGCCTTTTCTTCAGTGCAGGCATTCAGAGGCTCTGGCTTACTCGGCTACTTATTTTCATAGCACTTCAGGCTAACGTAAAATCAAAGGGGTTTTTTGCTTGAAAATTAACCAGTGCAAACAAGATGTAGAGGAGAATGACAACACAAGTTAAGAGACATAAACAAAGCAACCTCAAGTCTTAGAAAAATAAAAGTAAACTATAATGTAGAAGTAAACCTATACCCTGAAGAGTCACTGCTTGTATAAACTGTGTAAGAAATATACTGGATGTGAAAAATACCAGAAAAAAAAAATCTACATTATACGAGATGCCTCATTTCAGAATTAAGTATCTTAGCTGTGGACTTCATCATGTCACTCATTATTGAAAAGACTATGAAATTAAAAACAAACAAACTGCACCAATGAAGATTAAAAAAAAAAAAAGGTCAGATGTTTAAAGGGCACGAATTGAATTCATCTACCATAAAGGATTGCTCCTGTAGTCCCCCTTCTATGTGTTTTAGTACCAAAAGAAATGTTAAAATTCTAGCAATGATTGTACCATACATTCAAAATTCACTACTTACATTTTGAAGAAGCTGTTCAAACCAATCATACCCTGTATCTCTACAAGCTGCAACCTAGAAGTATTTTTGAGAATAAACCGATTAATATAGAAGACATCTGAGGAAAAATTACTTCAGTACAGATGTCATCCTTGAAAGGGAAGTAAAACCATGCATAGGTAATTTTCATATGCATTCAGTACAATGACTTTATATCTTTGGAGTGCAGAAACTGTCTTCTGCCTTTGAAAAATAGTTCTCACCATTTAAGTGACTCCAGAATTTGTATTCCATACAACATGAAGCCTACACATTTTACTGGAGATTGCTGGCTCTAATGTAAACTATATTTTGGTTTTACAGAACATTTTGCACCGATTAAAGCACAAATACAAGCCTGACATTAAAAATGACCACATGTGTATATATATGTATATACATATTTGACATAAACAAACCAAGCCTTCACCGGTATCATATGTCAGGAACAACTCACAGGTGCTCCAAAGTAGAACTGGCAGAACTTAGAGTTAAGCTGAAGTCAAATTGACTGACTTCTCAGTCTGGAAAAATGCACACTAAACTACCATTTTGTAAAAATATTGAAATGTAGGATGATGTTTAAACCCATAAGTGTAAGTAATGGAATACTTTTATTTGTTATTTACATCTTGGTATAACTGATATGAAAACATCTTCTCAGCACAGTGGTTTTACACAACATGTTTCCACTACAAATTAAAGCATTTTATTTGAAACAGATTTTGTTATTTTGGATACATGCTATTTAATTTACTGCTCCTAAAAAGTAGATACAATTATGCAGATACTAGTTTACCCTGAATAAACCTGATGCTGTATTTGTTAAAATGGCTTATTAACCTTTCAAAATAAATGTTATCAACTGTTTGAGGAAAATATTCTTTCAATAGATAACTTCTTAGTTAGGTTTAACTATACGCTGCTACTAGCAATTCCTGGAAAATGTTAAATGTAATAGAAAGTTGTTGTGTTTTAAGTGACAAGTATTTTATACAACCTGAATAGAGTGTGGTCCCAGTTATCATTGCCAGCAGATTAGTGAGCATTTAAAGTTTCCTATGTTCCATCATATAATTAATTTTGGCATATATTCAATGCCAGTAGATATAAAAAGAAAGTCATCTGACAATTAAATTACTATATTCTAAAAAGATACTTCAAAGATACTAAAAACTTAATCAAATTTTCCACACAGCTTAAATTTGTTTAACATACCACATCAGTGATGTTTAGTATTTTCCTTGTCATTGCTTCTTTGTCATGGTGTGGAGTTGGAGTAAACCAGAGCTTCTGGAATGTCTCGTTTACTAATTTCTGAAGGAAAAAAATATTAGAATAAATAAACAAACTTATCTTAGCACACAGGTATTATTTCTAATACATCCATACAATAGATTTGTTTATGATGTGCACCATTTCATAAGGAATTATTCAACCTAAGTGAGACTGTTGTAGGAAATGTTATCTGAGACAGACCCAGATCTACTATTACAGCAGTTACACCAACCTCTAAGCAATCTTCAGCAAAATGATCACTGGGAACTGATACTACAGAAAACCCTGCATTAATTTGCATTCCTCAGGAAAACACAGTACCCTGAGAAGTTGACAACTGAACATAAGATTATGATTTCTACAGCAGAACTAGCACCAAGTGTAGGTTACTTTAGAGTTTTCAAAACATCTGTGACAAGGTGGGAAAGAGAGAGAAGCCAAGTCTCTCCACCTACACACTGGAAGTACGTTCCTGTCCAATGTTTTTGGATGGAAGGAAAAAACAGAATAACCTGAACAAAATTATTCCCAAATTACTTATAAGGGACATGGTTGTAAGAAGCTCTCCTCATTCATGGAAGCATTAAAAAAAACCCCAACATTGAAGATAATGCCTCATTTTTTCTGATGTTGCTAGAAAGGAAAGGGGAAGGAGGAAACAGAACACCGTCATCCTCATTTCCTGCAGCACTTCAGATCCAGCTGTTCATCTACTTCTTGATCAACATTGCTCTCAGAGAGCCACTTGGCATTAATATATCTCAAGTGGTAAAAATATATGCTGCAGCTTTAAAGTTTCAGATTTCAAATCCTACTGAAAGTGTGATACAATATTATTACAGGTGTGTCCTTAATTACCTAACAATTTAACAATTATTTTGCTAAATCGAACAAAACCATCATTGTCAAGTGTATGATTTCACACATAATCTTAGTTTTGTGCCCTTCTGCATATACATTGCACAGAGTAGATTATGATCATGTAAGTATCACTTTAGGGGGAATACCTGATCCATTGAACATTCAGAATTAATGTAAAATTAGCACAGGTGAATACTTCATAATTTTTATATGCAGAACTTACAAGTCTGGCATATATTAACATCAAGTATTTAATTTTGACTTTTTTTTTTTCCCAGAAAGAAGTTTTATATGCCAATTTTACTTGTTAGAAAAGAGAACTACCAGAGGCACACTAGCAAGAAGAAAAAACTCTAGCAAATAACTTTTTAAAATCTTTTGATTGTCAGCAAGAACTTCAAGAAGGTACAAGATAGAACAGAAAGAAAACTAGTCATAGAGCATTTTAGAAAGCTAAGACATTTGCTCTCAAAAATTATAACTAAACAAAAGTCATAAATACTACGAAGGAGCAATGCAATACTTTTTTGTGTTTTGTCAAAATGTAGAAACACTAAAATAACGATAATTAAAATCCTGAAGAATATGTTTCATTCTACCTTAATGCCTTCTTCGTCATTGACTCTCCGAATCATTTTCACACACATCTCTGTAATTTTGGGAAATGTTGGTTGTTCAATGCAGATATCCCTAAGTATCTTTATGACTCTTTTTCTGACACTGATACCAGTATCCTGTGAAGAGAAAAGCATTACGCTCTTGAAAACAAATCAGAAATATGAATTAATTTACATATTATATGAATTAATATTTGAAGATCATCCAATCTGACTTGCAAAATTTATTTAGAAAAGGCAGCTAAAATATTCTGGAGTGTATTTATACAAAAGGTCACCATAACTTGTACCACTTTATTTCCAACAATTCTAAAGGTTCTGGCTGAGTCCTCAGAACGCTGAAACGCTTTCTTCATTTATACGTTTCCATCTAAGAGCTCATGATATTGCAAATGTATAATTCCACTTCTTGATTCAAGAGCTTACAAGCTAGCTGTGATGACACTTTAGCTACTATGCTGGAACACACAAGATTCTTTGTAGATCTGGACCGTAATACTTCAAGCCTTTAGATAAAGCTTATGGATAAGATACGTGCAGCAATCTTCCACTTTCCCAGGCTTCATCTAAGGAGATGGATAAGGAGCTTCACTTCATATTACCTTATTCAAAACCTGTTAAATCTGAATGTCAGGATGAACTGCTTTATGCATGTTCACTGGCACATGAAGCTACTTATCTCCAAAACCCTTCACAAACATGTTTTATCATACTACTATAGCAAATGAGTAGTATTTGACTAAAAATCTGACATGGACGCTAAGAGCTAGTTATCCTACAGCTAAATTAACACTGTATTTTATCTGAATGCCCAGACAAAAACCATTTTTTCTATTAAAACTCTAATAAGAAGTCTTTTAAAATACTGAAAATAGCATAGAAAAACAAGTAGTTTTATCTTTTTTTTCCCCTATTGGATTACAAACAGTATCTTTAGATTACTGTGTTGTAGATCTTTCTTCATCACCACACTACTGTACTGCATTCAGTGACCCGTATCTCAGACTTCAGAGATGTGGCTAAATTCCTCATTTCACCTAATTTGCACCATAATAATAGAATCAAAAGGAATATAATTCTGGTTCTGATGTGGTACAGCTTTCTGTTGACATTTATCTTTTGAAGTAAACACACCTCACTGGAAATAAGTGATGCATTTTGCAAGGTTAGTCTTAAAAATATGATGCTCCCCATTAAAATAAGATACAATTTATTCTTGGGATCATCATTCCATATTATTAAACACATAATCTCAGTTAAAAACAAGTCCCCCAGTGTGACTTATTTTATCATAAATATCACAAGTCACCATACCAATATTCTTTCAATTAGCATGTCATAATACTGCTCAGCAAGCTGAGGACGACAGAGCACAAATCGGCCAAGCAGCTCCACAGCTGCTTCTCGTACACTAGTGGAGTTATCCATTAACCGTCCATGAACACCTCGTTGCATATCCAGCTAAAAAGAACAAATGAAACACAGATTCAAAATTAGAAATGAAGATTTATTTTAAGCATAACAGAAGAATGTATGTTTATGATGGATATTTCCTTTTTTACCCTGGCTAGAATACTGGGGTCTACAGCAACAACCTCAGACAAACACTTCATGGCTTTTGTTCGAACAGCAATTGCATTTTCACCAAGTACACGCAGAATCTAATAAGAGAGTAAAAACAAAGATTCAGTTGCTTTGGGAAGGTAGCAAACAAAGTTTAACGGGCAAAAACGCAAGAGAATAAAATGCAAAGAATTTAACTAAAATAAGAGTATCTGTCTATTAAAAATTGAATATATCTTCTCAGACAGTAAAAAGTAAAACGTGCATGCAAGTGATCTTCCATGACACTGATAACTGAACATGGATATTTGCTAGCATTTGCTACGTCTCTAAGACTGGTCCAAACAGGATTTACACATGGTCCGTATATTCACTTTAAGTCCCTTCATTTTAAACTCTGCTTCTGTCATTCAGTTGTGGCTTTCACCATGATTCTTTTAACAGGAGAGTTGGATTTGGGCACTATAATTTTAAGAATGGCTCTGTATGCAGATCAATATAAGTAACGCAACCTAAAATAGTACTGGAGTTCAAACATGTCACCATGCCAAAACGTTAGTGTTCCTCTCCCAGAAAAAAGTAAAGAAACGATACTGGTCAAACAGCAGCTTCCAAAAATGACAGAAACATGCATTGCAAGCAACTGTCCAAGCTGGCTTGTATTTTCAATTCAAATTAAGCTCAATTTAAGGAGTTAATATTACCAAATAAGCACACATCTTACAGAAACTGTGAAAATTACTTCAACATTTTGTAATTATCCTCTTACTGTGTGCATCTAATCATAATGATTTTGCCATACACATATATGGATAAATAAAATAATGTATGTACAATATGATCTACAAAATGCATGCAAGAAAAAGAAACATAAATCACTTATATCATCATTACAGAATATGAAAGCACATGGTGTTATCATTGCCTGTTAAATACCTGCGCTCAACAATGAATAGATATGGCACACTACCGGAAAAGTGTTTGGAATCAGAAAACAACTGTGTTTCACTGTACTAAGACTTCTGGCACAGTTTACCTGTGTCAAATAAATATCGAAGCTCTGGGCAAACGGCCTCATAGAGGCCAAGTAGCGAACAATCAAACACGCATCTTCGTAGTCCACAGTATCAGAATTCATCCTGCAACAAATTCTATGTGTTAATTCTGACATGTTTATAAAAATTACTTAAAATATCAAATGCATGGCTAATAAAGAAATAATTTGTACTGAAACATACTTTAATGTACTGAACTGAGATGGAGCAGTTTTAATGATGCTGCGAAGAAACTTTTTGCGACTTTCTGCTCTATGCATGATTTGTCCTGTGGTCTCAACATCTTTTGCATGGTGAGTTCCTTCAGATGATTCCTCATCCTTCTGAGATTTAATTGCTTTCTCTGTCTCCATAGTTGTATCACGGAACCACTGAGCTATATAAAACTTCCGAGAAAACTGGAGAAATATAGCAGGATACACAGAAAATAAAACCAACAGATACAGAAAAGGAAAATTAACAGATTTATAATGAGATTAAGTGAATCTAATGCATCAACAAATATTTTGAAAAACCAAATCAACAGTATGTTAGGATGACAATTTAATTGAAGCACTAATAAGCAAATAATTTTGTTCAGTACACGTTACTGAAGTTATTTTTATATACACTTGACACCAGAAAGCTGAAATTTACCACTAATGATGCATCAGTTTCCGTGTTCTCATCCAGGTAATCTAGTAAAGCCTTTTGCAGTTGCTGAATTTCATCTTCTCCTCCTGAAACCTGTCCCAAATAGAAAGATAGTTATAAAACAGAATATTGCACAGTGGTAATTATCATCTGAAACTATGCATGTCCACATATAAAATACACTGAGGTCAGTTGTTTTGATAATTGCAGAACATTAACAATTTTTTAACCAATTACTTATAAACTGCATAGAGACTGAAACAAATTAGACTGTGGCTCTGAAGTCCGAAAAAGATTAAGAGCAGAGTAAGACTGGTTTTAAATCAGACTGACTGATTTCAGTAATTTTCATTCTATGATCTTGTGTGAAGACCCTTTGCCACAGAGGAAAAAAGAAGGGCTGAAATCACACATAGAAGACTGACACAAGGTTTAACCTATCAAAGTCAATGTTAGCTGTCTCACCAATACTAAATACCGAAACAGCAACTTCTCAGGTAAACAAGGGCTAAAAGGCAATAAAATAAACTAAAAAGAAATATAAAAAACAGTAAAAAGGTATGGGAAACATCAAAGAAATAAAAATAAATTATCCTTTTGTAAAAATATTTGGTATAACTGTTTTCAGGGATACAGCATCCATGCAGAAAAAGTGCAGCAAGTGTGCTCAGTCTAGGAAAGAACTTAGGAAGGTTGTTCCCAAACACCTCTGAGCTCCAGCACTGAAGGATCATGCTCACTGAGATTCAACTAAGTTTCTATCAGACAAAAAGCCTGAGAACAAATACACTTTTTATAAAAATTGTCACCTACTGCATAAAGCCTACCTACAGAATTGGGTAATACTAATTCTCCTGTGAAGCACTTTAAAGATGTACAGAAAACATTACACATGAAATATTCACCTGAAAACTAGTGCTGGAGACTCTTTCAGATTTGTAATATCTAAACTGTATTAATGTTAACAACAGAATGTATTTTTTCCAAGAGGCTATTTAATAGGAAATACTTATATTTCCTCTATGTATATAAGTGTGTTGGGTTTGTGTGGCAAGGTTTTGGTAGCGGGTGGGGGCATGGGCTACAGGGGTGGCTCCTGTGAGGAGCTTCTAGAAGCTTCCACAGTGTCTGACAGAGCCAATGCCAGCCAGCTCCAAGATGGGCCCACCCCGGCCAAGGCCAAGCCAATCAGCGCCTCTGTGATAACATATTTAAGAAGGGGGGAAGTGTTTTTTGGAGCTGGAAGTGCGAGGATGTAACACCAAGGTCAGTGCAGGAGGAGG